GGCCTCTCCACCACCCTGGGCCTGACCCGGGTGCCCGAGTGTGCGTGACCTGCGGGTCCCGGTCTGGGGCCCGGGGCGAACCTGCAGCCCCGCCTCGGGCCCGCCGCCCACCTTCTGGGAGGGCAGGTGCTTGGGGCTGGCCTGGAGGGCGTGTGATGCGTGGTCTGGGGTCCGAGGAGGGTCTTTGGGGAAGGGGTGGAGGTGGGGGCGAGTCCCAGCCCCCCAGCGGGTCCCCTCGTTCCCATGGGGGGGGAGATGAGGTGACCTGGGACAGGGGTACGGATCAGTCCGCTGGGGTCTGTAGAAGTTTCTACAAGACAGCCTGCCCCTGGCCCCCTCCTCCAGGATCCGGAGTACAGGGCAGAGGTTAAGGGTCACTCCCCCCACCCCTGCCCTGGGGTTGCTTGCCATTTGGCCTCTGTCCCTGCTGAGCCACACGGCACTGGGTGTCCTGGGAGCAGCCTCTGGGTCGCCGTCCCAGCGTCTGGTCTTGGTGGTGGCTGTCTGCTGCGAGGACTTCCCGCTTGCACTGCCCGGGCCTCTGGGCGGCGAGCGGGAGGCGGGCTGTGTGGTCAAGGCCTGACCTGACACAGCCACCAGTAACCTGAGTCCCCAGCTCAGCCGCGCTGGGGAGGGGGAACCAGAGGCCCCGTGGGCTGAGCAGGTGCGCCCGGCTGCCCTCAGGCAGTCCTTGCCCTTGTGTGTGGCTGTGTCTGGGTCTTTGACATTGAGGCCATTTCCTGGATTCTGTTGTTTGCCTGGGCCCTGGGCAGCCCCGGGTCAGGTCAAGCTGGGGCTACTCTGCAGCTCTCAGGGACCTGAAGGATGGATGCTTGGACAACCGGACTCTCTTCGGCCCCCCACCACCAAGGGGAGGCGGGGAGGGGTGGGTGTGTCCCTGGCAGCCTTAGAAGGCTGGACACCCGGAGCCCTGCCTGGCTGGCCTTCCTGCTGGCCCAGGTTAGGAGCCCACATGAGGCCAGGCTCACGGGCGGGGCATCCTGTGCCCTCTCCCTGCCCTCCCTGGGCAACCTCACAAAGCCTCTGCACCTCTGGATCTGGGCTGCTTTGGCCCTGACTGTCGGCTGTGTGAAAAGGCACTTTTGTTTTTAACTTAGTTTATTGTTTTGACAAAAATTACCAAAGTTACAAACCAAAGCCAGTAGAGAGCATATGGTGTGGCAAGGCATGTGCCCAGCCCGTAGTTTGCTGCCCTCGGACCATGCGCTGGACCATGTCCTGAGGGCCTGCTGCCAGAGAGCCACTGTGGGCCGCCCACGAGCTGCAGAGGCCCCCACTCCCCATGCAGTCCCAGCAGGACCTGTCGGTGCCCTGGCTGAGGAGGTGGGTGGGCAGGCCATTGGGGTCTTGGAGCAGGACTGGAGTACTTTAGGTTGTCTGAGCAGGCCTGGAAGTGGCTGGGATGTGGGGGAGGGAACAGGACCTGGCTGGGAGGCCGGGGCAGCTGCGAGGCCAGTGTGGGTCGGGACAGGGGGATGGGTTTGGGTGATGCTGGTAGGCACAGTGGGCAGACAGATGGGGTAGGCTCCTTGGATCTCTGGGTGGTGTGGCCTGGTCACCGAGGACCCCCATCAGCTGCCTCCTTTCTCCCGTTCCCTGAGATCTGCCTGCAGAGTCCTGAGGTCCGCCTATCCTATAATCATTTATTCAGCGGCTTAAACTTCCTCTGGGAGGGGCGACCAGTTACACTTTAGCGTGAATGAAATCTGGGTACCTAGTGGAGGTGGCTGGAGGTAGGGAGAAGGTGGGCAGGTCCTGCAGGGCAGGGAGCATTGGCCACCCCATGCCACGGTGGCCTCAGATGGGGGGCTGTGAGAAACACCCTGGTGAGCCTGGGCTTCCTGCTTCCCCCCACCCACAATGGGCTGGGCCCTGAGTCCCCTGAGTCCCCGTTTCTGGCCACGGCTGGCCACCTAGTGAGGGAAGGGGGAGTCACACAGGGCTAGGGCCATGTGCTCTGGAACGGGCCCCACTTCCCATGGGTGTCCTTGGCCAAGTGGGTAGAGGATCCTGCACTCATCCCCCCCTTTCCCCATGCATGTCACAGTCTGTTCTGACCCAGCAAAGTTGGGGAGGGTCTCTGGGTCTGTGATGAATGGCAGTGTAGGGAGGGGTCTGGGCCCCGCCCTCGGGTTCCATGAGTCTCACAGCACCTTCACCAGGATTGCTGGGCTGATTCTCAGCCTGGTTGGACTTGGCACTTAGCGCATCTGGCTGTAGTCCAGGTCCCTCTATTTCTGGGCCAGGACCTCTGGTCTCTGGGCCACTTGCTTATGGGCCCTGGGTGGTGCTGTGTCGGGGCTACAGGGCAGGGGGTGGGCACTCAGTCTACTGAGTCCCATTCTGCTCTCCACAGCTGTGCCATTTGGGGTCAGTGGCCCAGGAAGTGTTGGTCACCTCGCCCCCCCCCCCC